TGGTTCAGAATGTCAGTGCTTCTTTCCTGAGTCACTGTTTTCATGGGCCTCCCAGATTAAAACTAAATCTAGAGTCATCAATGTCTTCTTCCTTTACCCATCATAAAAAAGCACCAAAACCAAAGAGCTCTCCCACTCTGTTATTTATTCTGTGATCACTAGTAACTATCCTTGTTCATTCCCTTTTAACAAGAAGTTATTGAGTTTCTGTGGGATATATTGTGCTCTGAAAATGTTTAATGGGAACCCAAGCTGTTCTCAGTACATGTATCATGTATGTATGCATCTATCCAGTTATTTATTTATAATTGTTCCATGTTTAAAAAAAGAGATGTATGGTAACTTCAAGTCTATGTGAAGTATAGCAAGGAAATATACATTAGAAGTTACCGATGGGGAAAACACAGACACACACACACACAGTAAAAATATAAAATGCACTCCAAAATGAGATTCATGAAGTCCTATGTACTCTCTAGGGCCCTCCATTTATATTATATAAGTGAGCAGACAAGTGATTGACCTTAAAGTATGCCTTCAAATAATTGATCGTCCTGAGAGCAAGCAGATAAATTGTACTGTGATGTTTATCTTTAAAAATTGAAAGAAAGTAATTTAGGAAGTAATATCTTTCTGAACGACATTTAAACAGAAAGAATATGGAAGGTGACTGATGGTGATGATGATGAGATGATACTGACAATATTTATTTAGACTTTTACGTAGCACGTTATTGGGGAATTGAAATTTCGGGGGAAGTTAATTTTTTCCCAGTTTTTCTGTCAGTGTTAATTTGTTTTCAGGTTATCGTATATCTAAACATAAATATAACTTACAGTGTTTATGGTTGACAAATGAGTCTGAATAATCTTAGCTTGAGCGTATTACATAGTTAAGTTTTAGGTGAATGTAGTGCTTGCTGATAACTTTTCTGTATCCTTTGGTTTGAAAGGATTTATTTGAGGAAGTAAAATCTATTGAGTGAATTAGAATAGACGGAGTCTGATTTCTTCCTCTTCCCTTTCTCAGAGCGTGAATAAGTTGGGGACTAGAAAAGAAGCTATTTATCGGTCCTTCTCCATTTACATATTCTCTGTGAGCTTGTATTAAGTATATGTTGACAGAAACATTATACAAATTACTGAGGCACAATCCGAGGCGTTATATGTCTATTAAAGGCATTCTTCATGTGTTTAATCAACCATCTGACAGAAACTGGGGTGGAGTACCAAAATACACCAATATTTGAGAATTTAAGTACCAAACTTGAGAATACGGTCAAACTTAATTTGCATATGACAGTAGTCAGAGAAAGAGGCGGGTGAGGTCGTATTAGAGGAGGCACATTGTGATCTAAGTTTGCAAATCAGAATGGATGTACCTTGCTGCTTGGATTTTGATCCTAGTAAATAATGTACACTCTCAACAAAGATAAAGCTGAACAGAAAATGTCTTCTGTGACATATACTCATAAAGCAGCTATTCTGACTCACATCAGTAATTTGAATAGTATTAAACTTTCAGGTAGAAGAGATGGAGGAGAACCTAAATTCTGTTTTAGACTGTCTTTTTCTTGTATCATCAAGATGCTAGTATTGCCTTTCACCTCCTCCCCTTTCCAGATTCAGTCTTTTCAGTTACCCTTTATCAGGAAGTAGATCACATAAATCTGGAAGTCATCCTTAACCAAACAACATGCAGATTGACCTTGAAGAGTCTAAGAAAGCCTTGTCAGGCAAATATAGTGGCTTACACATCCTAGGCAGAGTACTCAAAAATAATTAATGTCATGTTTAAGTATTTAGTTTGAGTGGATTAATTTTAGTTAGGAAAACTGTATTGTAGTTCAGTCTTAAAAGATTTTCTGTTTCTAGGTACACATACTAATACATTCACAGAGGAATTTATGTAAAGTGTAGGATGTGCTTCAAAATTATCCATGGGTGGGAAGAGCAAGTGAACGTATACAGGAAACAAGACCGGTGTGAATTGATGACTGTTGGAGTTGGGAGATACATACTTACAGAATTTACTACACTTTTCACTCTTCTTTGGTGTATCTTTGGAATTCTCTGTAATAATTTTTTTTAAAGATGTAAATGAATGAAGTGTCTACTTGGGACCTAGAGTATGGCTTTCCATCCTTCATGCATTAAAGACAGAGGGAACATGTGTTCATGCTCATGTTTACTTTTTTTTTTTAGTTGGGTATTTAACTTTAATTTGTAACGTAAAACGTAAAAAACGTAAAAAAACCGTAAATTCGTTACCTACCTTACTTTA